AATAAAATAAAAAAATATTTTCAAAGTACCATCTGTTCTACTGAAGTCCAGGATATGAAAGATGGCCTCCATGGTGTCTCCATATCAGGGGAATAGATTCATTGTTTGGCTCCCTCTTCACTGGTTTTATGATAGTGAGGGAAGCAGACATCTCAGATTCAATGCCCACACTCCAGAGGTCCAGGATTGTGACTCCATCCCGGGGTTAACTCTGCCCACACTTGAGGACAGCTGCAGCCTCGTTCTAAAGATGCTATAGGGGTGAGTTTCAGGCTCCCCTGAGCACATGAAAAAGACCCACAATCCCTCCAAATCACAAGAGCATTTCAGACACAGGCTCCAGGGACTTTGTTAAAATGCACAGGGCATCATGCTTTACTTGTCGGCCTCCTTTGAAAACAGTGGGAAACCTTGCAGCCACCCAGAATAGAACTCTTTGACAAGAACTCAGTCATTCACTTTACCACCTCTCCCAAACTGAGACTGTGCCCGTGGATGTGCGTGGGGTGCACATGCCCGAGGAACCATCCTACCTCTGCCTCCCCAGCTGGGATGACAAGTGTGTGCATCCCACCCGCTTTCTCATGTGGGTTCCAGGGTCAAACTCAGGACCTCACGCTTGCACAATGTTGTCTAAAGATTGATAAGCCCAAACTACTATCACCATGGCCACTCCTCCCACAGATTTCCTGTGGACTCAGAGGCATCTGGGGAGATCCTGGCCCATGTCCAGTCATCTCAGACTCTGCCCAGCTCATGTCCCTTCCATCACCACATTGCTCTGAAGTATTAGTGTTTGGTGATTCTATATTAAAATCCAAGAGTCTGATCCAGTTGGGGGCCCCTCAGCCATTGGTTCATGTGTTTCCATTCGTTTGGTTATTTGTCCCTGTGCTTTATCCAACCTTGGTTTCAACAATTCTCGCTCATATAAACCCTCCTCTTTCTCGCTAATTAGACTCCCGGCGCTCCACTCGGGCTGAGCCATGGATGTCTGCATCCAGATTCCCTCAGGGAAGGCTTTGCTCTGGAGGAGGTGGGGATGGGGGGTGTGCTGGGGGGAAGGGGAGGGGGGCAGGAAGGGGGAGAACAAGGGAATCTTTGGCTGTTATGTAGAACTGAATGGTATTGTAAAATAAAATACAATTAAATTTAAAAAAAAATCCAAGAGTCTTCAAGGAAATCCCAGCAAGTTATAACTTGGGTGGCTTTTTTTTAAACACTTCTTCACAACAGATTAATTTTATTAATTTAGAAATTATGCCTGTGTGCGGATGTGTGCACATGAGTGCAGGTACCCGAGGATGCCCGGGCATCATTTTCTGGAGCTGCAGTTCCAGGCGGTGGAACTTGAGTCACCTGACATGGGTGCTAGGAACTGAACTTGGGTCTTTGGCAACACCAGTGCATTTTCTTAACTGCTGAGCGAGCCCTCCTGCCTCCTAGGATGAATTTCTCATTGTCACTTGTATTTCTGACAGGTTTCACACTTTAAAATAATAAGCACCAGTGTGTGCTTTGGATGCCATTATTAGGGAGACTAGCAAGCCGCACTTGGCAGTTACCCTGCCAGTCAGCACTAGGAAGAACCGAGGCAATTGCTTCAATTATCAGTTATTAGCTTTTTGCTCCCAATCTCTCTTTGCTTTAAATCTGTCACAGACCTACATCAAACACATGCTGATATCCTCTGCCTTCAGATCCTTCAAAGAAAAGTCTCCCTGACAAAATTTAAAGAAAATAAAGAAATGCTTCCAATATCTTATATGTTTGTTTTCCATAAATTGTGAACTAATTTCTGTCTTCCAGATAATAGGGCCTTTCTCATTCTGCACAACAATGCTCTTGGGATGCAGGAGGGGCAGGGACAGCCACAGTGATGCTCTTGGCATGCAGGGGGGACAAGGACTGCCACAGTGATGCTCTTGGGATGCAGAAGGGACAGGGACAGAGACAGTGATGCTCTTGGGAAGCAGGAGGGACAAGCACAGCCACAGTGATGCTCTTGGGAAGCAGGAGGGACAGGGACAGCCACAGTGATGCTCTTGGGAAGCAGGAGGGACAAGCACAGCCACAGTGATGCTCTTGGGATGCAGGAGGGACAGGGACAGCCACAGTGATGCTCTTGGGATGCAGGAGGGACAGGGACAGCCACAGTGATGCTCTTGGGATGCAGGAGGGACAGGGACAACCGACTACATTCCTGGGGGTGCAGTTCCTCTTGACTCTGCTTTTGCATTCTGTTCCCTTTCCTGGGATTCTGTGTAATACTGGGGTCTGACCAGGGTGGGTGCAAGAAAGCTCCTGTTCACCCACTGGTCTCCCGAGGCTGGCAGAGCAAGACAGTCCATTTTTCCTTCCCTTCCTCCCTCTCTGCCCTTCAGTGGAATGATGGCAGGTGGGGGAGGTAGGTGACAGAATAGGAATTCAGATCACAACGGTGATCAGTGATCATATTTTGGTGAGATTTCACATTTTTAAACTCTGCATATTGCAAGGCTCACATCAGCTTATTTTTGAGAGAAATGAGAAAAGCTAAGTGATTCAAAAATATACAACCTTAATCATGGAATTTGACAAGTCTGGGAGATTTAGTCAGAGTTTTTGATGATGGCCTGTGTTGATCCATTTTTCCTTTGCAGAGAACTTACAAAACACAAAGGAAAAAATATATTCAAAGTGAGTGAATCATGTATCTGAGATTTCTTTGCATAAATAGTTGCTTTGATAAAGCAGGATTTACTTTTATGAAACAAAGAAAACTGTTAATTTTTCCATGAATCAAACTATAGCTAACCTTTAGGAAACTCCAGAATATGTAACAGGATGCTTGTATAAAATATTTCTACTTAATAACTCTCTCTCTTTTATGAGATGTGTGAAAAATGACTTATATTCCATCTGAAAAGGGAAAGTGGTGTTTTGTGAATGGCTAAGATCCAAATGTAAATATAATTTTTTTCTTCTCATTGTAGTTCTGAGGATTGAACTCAGGGCTGGGTGAGTACTGTCCCACTGAGCCACTGCATGTCAACCTGTTGGGTGTGTCCACAGGATGGGCCATGCTGGGTCATGAAGCAGATCTCTTGAGCCTGACTACCGGGCTCTGCTACCCACTCTCACTAAGACTATGAGTAAGTTATTTCACACCCTTGTGCCTCAATTTCACTATCCATGGAGACAGCCAGAACAGTTCATTGTGAGGTTGCTGCGAATTACATCAGTGAATCAGTGAATGCATACAGGTGCTTAGGACACTGCTTAGTACAGAGCCACGGCCCCACAACCAGTTTCAGTTAGTCATATATATTTATGTTAAGTATATAGATACATAGTTCTTTGAGCCTAATTAAAATTGTGAGTTTCTTCCTGGAGCTGGGATGCAGCTCAGAGCATACAGCACTTACGCAGCATGCACAAGACTCCGATTCTATCTCAGCACCAGGAAGACCAGGAGCGGCGGTGCATGCCCAGTACTCAGATGGCAGGAGGGCCACAAGTTCAAGTTTATCTTCACCTGCAAACGAAGCTAAGCCAGCCTAAGTGACAGAAGTCCCTGTCTCAGAAATCAAGTATTTGCTTACCAGTCTGGGGTCAATTTCTTCATTGAGGACGGCTTCGTTTTTGATGAGGGCCACTCGCTGAGCGAATCTGCAGGTAGAGATGGACTCCTAAGAAAAAATCACAAAATAGCTTCTTAAAATATGATGGCATGGGAAGGCATTTCTCTCCAGATAAAACTCAATTTTCATTAATAAAAAAAGATACCTAAAGGGTAAGATGTCTGTAAAAACACACAATAAATAAATATGCCTCAAAATGAGGGAGTTTGGCCCTAAGATACAATTTTCTTTCTTTTTTTTATGGGTTTGGCTTGGTAAAATGACAAATGCCAAAAATATAGGCAATCCTGGGGTCCCAAGAGGCAGCTGATATGTATTTGACTCGGTTAAGCCAGAATGTCACATGCAAGTCATAACCATAGCAGGTACCATGACCCACAGGCATGCAAGACCACAAAGTAAGTAATAAACCAAAGAAGTTTTCACAGCATTCAGTGACTTGGTGCTTATTGGGACGCACCATGAATGACTTGTTTTCCTCTTTGGGGGAGTGTCTACATCCAAAATGTTAATCTGACTCTTACAAGACCCCAGCTGGCTCTGTAGCCATCCTGGGAAGCACTTCAGAAGCGTCCATCCCCTGGGAAGGCACCCGGGTGCCACCATTGGAGAGAGTCCAGGACCAGATCTCAGGATGGCTCTAAGATAACCAGATCTCACCAGTCAGAGGAACTGAGCAAGAGCAGGGGAAGATTCCCTTCTCTCTATCATCGGGCCTTTGGAGATGGGCAAACATGGCCTCTTCAAGCCATTCATCTGAGACGGGATCCCACATGGGTTGATGATAACACTGGCAAAGAAGGCCAAGCCATGGGCCCTGTGGTGTATTTACCTCCAAGGGTGTGTGTGAGCACCACAGAAGAGGTGCAGACCCACCCGGGCCCCTCAGCTCCACCTCACCACCCAGTGACAGGGAGAAGTACCGCGTACATCAATGTTCCTCTTCTCTAGAGAGAGCGTGGCGATCATAGTGGTCATGCAGTTGCCCCCCAGACTGTCTCTGAGCACGCTCGTCATCATGGAGTTCCTGTAAGGGATGTGTGTGCGGTGCTTTTCCGAAAGGGCAATGATGACCTGCGGGAAGGTGGGCAGATGATGGTGTTAGCCAGGCAGGAAAGGCACACCGACAACGGACTTTTCAATAATGTGAATACAAAGGAGACAATCACTGAACACAGGAGACACCAAGAATTAGGCACAGAACAGTCATTTTAACAAGAGCTTTCAACGTACAAATGACAGAAATGGGGCTGGAGAAGTGGCCCAGTGGTTAGAGCACTTGCTGCTGCTCCAGAGGGCTGAGTTGGATTCCTGGCATCCACACTGAGTGACTCACAACTGCCTGTGACTCCTGTTCCAGGGATTCTAAAACCCTCTCCTGGCCTCCCGGCACCTGCAGTAAGAGTGAGCATCATGGCTGCTGCTGAATCATCAATTAAACATCTCACTATCCTCCCAACTTTGAACCTCTTTCATAAGATACATTAATATTCATTGCCGTTCTAGGGAACATTAATGTAGGTAACATAAGAATATGCTTCTAAAGCTGCCTGGTGATATTAGTGAACTCACTTTCAGTTGCAAGTTACAGAAAATGTAAGTCACACTGGTCTCAGTCAGGAGGAATGGAAACAGGAAAGCTCTTTGCTACATAAAGGTTAGTGGGTTCATGTTCCCATCGCTATGGTAGCCTCTTCATAGCCACAGGATGGCTGCCAAACACCCTGATGCTATATACTTCTTTATTCATAAGTTAGATGAGAACAGACTTCTTTTCTTTCATCCTGAGCTTCCCTAGGAGACATCTTGGTCCCCAGAAGACCTGTGGGTTGATGGCTGCAGCCAGAGGCAGGCTCCAGTTTGCTTTGCATTAAGGACCTAATCCTTAGAGCTGGAAGGGCTTTGGGTGCTGCCCACCAGAATGGACTCTCAACATCCTCTCCATGAAGGGATCTAAAATTGCTAGAGAAAGTAATTAAACATCAAAGTGGGACTGTGGTCTTAAAAAACGTATGTGCCTGTGACCCCAACACCAGTGGACATAGAGACAGGTGGGTCCCAGGGGCTCATTTGCCAGCCAGCCTAGCCTAGCCAAGTGGTGTGGTTCTGTTTCAGTGAGACACCCTGTTTCAAGGCAGCAAGATGGATAAGACAGAAGACAACAAGTATCTTCCTCTGGCTCCACACATGCACAAATCACATGCATGTATCACACATGTACATACACAAAGATCATCACATACACACACACACACACACACACACACACACACACACGCGCACGCACACACGCACGCACGCACATACACAAAGATCGATCATTACACATGCACATACACAAAGATCATCACACACACACACACATACACGCACATACACAAAGATCATCACACACACACACACATACACGCACATACACAAAGATCATCACACACACACACACACACACACACACACACACACATACACACACAAAGATCTGGAGAGCACTTCTGGGGAACTATTAAACGGGAGGCACTCAGTGCTGTGGCAGTCTTCAGGAGAGTCTGCTCTTGGTGTAGGCCTGGCCCATTTCCTTGAGAAAGGACCCTGAGCAGGTCTCTTGGAGCACCACGGTGAGTCTAGACCACATGGAGTAGGTCTGCAGAGTGACCCAGAGAAGGAATGTGCTGTGGCCATGCAGAGGGGAACGCTCCTTTCGGTGTTACGATGGATGCGCTCTGCAGTGAAAGGCACAGGAGTGGGGAGGGGTCACAGTGTGTGCATGTGTTTGCGTGTGTGTGTGTGCACGTGTGTGTGTGTGCATGCATTTGTGCGTGTGCGTGTGTGTGTGTGTGTGTGTGTGTGTGTGCGCGCGCGTGCACGCGTGCGTGTGCGTGTGCGCATGCGCGTGTGTGCCTGTCACAGGATAACCTCTAGGATGTCATTTCTCAAGCTCTTCCCACCTTTTTTATTTTTATGTTTTTGAGACAGGGTCTCTCATTGGCCTGGAACTCACCAATTAGGCGACTCCTGCTGGCCAGTGAGCCACAGGGATCCACCTGTTTCCACCTTCCAAATGCAGGGATTTCAACTTTCTCACCAGGGCCCCCGCCTCCCATTTGACATGGATTCTTGGGATTAAACTCCGATTCTCCAGC